ACCGTATTGACCTCGCTATCGCTCGGTCAATACGGCAAGGCCTCAGTTTGAGATTTTCCCGTAACAACCTCACTCTCGGTTATTAAGTAGTTATTATTCCGTTTACTAAATTGAGAAGAAATTATAATTATCTAAATTAGTTAAATATTCCTTAAATGAACAATATCAGACAATCGAGCAAGCATGTTCCTAAATTAAAGATTCGACTTCTACAAATTCAGGCGCGTCAACTTATTCAAAATCCAGAAAAAAAATATTAATTATAGTCGTACGTGTTAAAATTTAATCATAAAATTAGTATAGGTAATCATATGATTGCGAGTTCAATTTGGAATTAATTTGCACGAGTGAGTTTTTCAAAAAAGTTGAAATTGCACGAACCGCTTCGGCTTTGAAAAAATTCACGTGAAGGAAGTGCAGGAAGATCTTTCTTAAAGCCATTTTTTCGTCATAATTTTACGTGATATCCTTGGCTTAGAGAATTTCTTATTGTCTTTCAGCCAATCATAATCTAGATTTGCGATGTGTTATTTGCACTGGTTACACGTGAACTGCACTGCTCTCAGCCAATCAGAATGGAGTAATTTTTTTTCATGTATATTATTATTAAGCCTACAGCAAAAATTGAAATCTGCTCCAGAAAAATAGGACGCCAGGACGATTTCAAGTCAGTTGTTTGATTTTATCATTCGATGCATTTTTTTTTTTCCTTTCCATTGACCTACAAATAACTGCCTACAAATAATGATGTGCTCATACGCAATACCGTATAAAGGTGTTTTGCTGCAAATAATATTCTGCTCATGCGTAATTGTACCCACGCTCTGGTGTGAGAAATGGCAGATCGCTTCCCTAAGCTGTCAGGGGGGGATTCAGATATGAAAACAATTTGGTGATCGAGTGATAAAACAATTATTGAGCTTGGTTATCGCAAAATATCGTGTCTCGCAGATCGGCCTTCAGTTTCGGCAAATAATCGGTGTTTGGCTCCCCACTGTAAAATCACGATATTTTCCTTCGCCTCGTCCAGTAATTAATAGTTAATGATTGGAAAAATGGCGCTTAACCTTGCATAATATTATGGTAATCACCGAAAACGTCAACAGTTGGTACTTTTCAGCAGTGCAGAATCAGTGTACAGCTATTTCAATCTTCCGTAAGAAAAAAGATGGCAACTGGTACATTTATCCTTAATTCTTAGGGCACGAAAACTTTAACAGCGCTCATTAAAACGTACAAAGAAGTTCCTAAATCTTCAAACCTACATACACAACTTCTTTAGTACAAGACAAATATTGCAAATGGGCTGTGTAGCGTTCGCATGGTATTGTTATACGGAGAATTATGTTATCGGATCAAAGCCTCAAGCTCACACGACAAGATGGAAAGTTAGACCTGGTTTTCACTAGCGACGCGAGCTCAAGCGCAAGCACAAGCGCAATCAATAGGGATAACCCAAGTGGAAACGAAATTCGAAACACAAGCATAAGAACAAGCAAAATCATCCGAACCTTCCGCCATTTTGGATGACTGTTTAGGTGCGAGGTAATCTGGATCCAGTGTTTTCAGGTGACCAAACTTAACAACGTGTGGTAAATATCGTTGTGCTTGTATTATGCCTGAGGTGTATTTCGTTTCCACTTCTTGCAGCGCGAACGCAAGTAGCGCAAGCACAAGAAAAAAGAAACATTTTGGTCCTTGTGCTTGTGCTTTTAATTTGCTTGCGTTTGCGCTTATGCCTGCGTTAAGGCCGTTTTCACCGTGAAATAAGAATTATTGTGTTTGCGCTTGTGCTTGCGTTGCTAGTGAAAACCAGGCTTCAGGGCCCGTCCACTACGCAGGAGGAATTTGAAAAGGCAGCTTTATTTCTACGGTTTGGTCTACCGTCTACACTAATCCCTCAAGAAATGGAACTTTTCGAAAGCGCTCTTCAAATGGGAGAAAAGTAAAACCGCCGGCTTTTCGTTTTCGTGTAAATAGAAAACATTTTGAAAACGGAGGTTTCTGAAAACGATGACTTCACGGTGATCACGTGATTTTCCTGCCAGAGTGATTTTTAAACCACAAATCCAAAATGACCGGTGATTGTTGCGCTTTTAAATTCCTCCGGCGTAGTATGGACGGAGAACATGTGATGTGTCTTCAGAGTGAAATCGCCGTTTTCAAATTTCTTTAACGTAGTGTGGATGGGGGAGTAGAGAGCTGCTGTACTCGCTGAATATTGATCAGCATGGCAATCAACATGGCAAACGTTATTTCGTACTTGTCTTTAATTTCCCTTCAGACTTGTGGAAACAAGGTTACGTTCTTTTCGCCACATTGAATTTTTAACTGGAAGTCGTGTACCAATGAAAGAAAAGCTACAGAAAAGTTATGTTATGAATGGAAAATCAAGGATATCCCTGCTAGTATTTCACGTACAAAAAATAAAAATTTGTAGATTCCTTCTCCACCGATATACAAAAATTTAAATAAATACCCAGACTACCATTCGATCTTGCTTCGTAGGCTTGTATCACGCTGACTGAAAAAGCTGTTTTCCACAAGTTCCTAGTCATACGCAACTGAGCGAGTTGCGACCTTTATAGAACCTTTATGAAATGGCATCGAAATTTGATGATGATTGAATCGCTCGTTAATTTGATCATCATGATTTCTCGGGCTAAAACGATTTGTTTGATAGCCTCATTATGGAATCATCTTCTTTTGCATAAGGGACTACTTCATGAAGAAAATTCATAAGATGATTAAAAAGCAGAATCTTGTTCTTTTGTATTAGGAACTACTTCTTGAAGAAAATCCATAAGGTTACTCAAAAGCCAGACCCCAATTATGGCGATCGGTTCTTGGTGAGCCTCGAACTCGGCTTGGACAACACCAATCAATCATTTCGACTGTCAGAACACGTGTATCGGAAAAAGGGAAATAAAAACTTGTGTCTTCCTAAGGACTTCATATGGAATAACAGCGCCACAGTGTACTTCATTCTTCCTGTCAAGGATCAAGGAAAGTGGGTGCATCATTTCATCAATCAGCTGACCGATGCCAGCTTATTAACCAGTGATACGAACTTTCACGTCATAGTTGCTGATTTCGAAAGTAAAGATATTGATATGGACAAAGCGTTTAACACATCTCTTCTCAGCAGTAGACATACTATTGTTTCATTAACGGGAAAATTCTTCAAGACTCTCGCTCTAAACAAGGCCGTTCAACTGGTCCCAAATGCGCATGACATAATTTTCCTGTTTGATCTACATATTGATGTGCCCGCAAACATTATGGACAGTGTTAGAATGGTAAGTACGTCATATATTTGAACTGATTAGTAACTTAACGAAATTTTAACGAAGTTCAGTCTACAGCAGCATCTACTGCATACATTTTTATGCGGCACTGCAAGGTTACAGAGACCTAAACAGCCGCCGATGTTTTACCTGGAGATCCAGACACTCCAGCAAAAAATCCTGGACATTCCTAAGAAGAGTTAGCTTAATCCCCAAAAAGCGTACTTTAGAGGCAGAACTTATTAGCTCAAGGCAACAAGAACTGAATCGCAGCAGCTGGAAGTTAACTCTATGGAGGTCAATGACAGAAATATCTTTCTTTCCTCGATTCCACGACCATTGAGCAATTCAACACCTGACCGAAGGCAACCAAGGGTGGTTGCCTTTGGCCGTTTTACCTGGGCAATCATCCAGGACAATATACATTATCTCGAATAAATACGTCTCTGATTTACATAAATTCTATTTTCTAGTTTTAAGTCAGTCTTATCGGTCCGCGAAGTGGTTTCTATTATTGGCTACCAAATATACAGTCGAGGGTTGATCAGCTACCTTTCAAACCCTTCTTATCATGCCACATAGGCTTAGGAACGAATTTACCCAATGTTGTTGTTAAGAAACTAATTATAGTTATTCCAATCATTTTCTAACGATTATGATAAGATTAAAACGACTCCCAAAGCCACATTATACAAAAGGGTTGTTTTGTTCGCCATACATATAGACTAAGTCGTCTAGCTAAGAACTTATGAACGTAACTATTCTTCCCTCAGAACACTATTGCAGGTCGAATGGCTTACTTTCCTGTAGTTGGTCGTCTTAATTGTGGAAGTACTCCTGTAGAACACGAAGGTTTTTGGCAATTGGATGGATTCGGAATTATGGCGATTTATAAATCAGACTGGGACAGATTCGGTGGTAAGTCATATGTAAAATTATTTGCATGTACAAGCAAATTAGAGAGAATTTCATCCACTCTCACTGAATAGAAATGGTGCTAGCACAGAACAATTCACAGGAATTCTGTCGTGGTGTTTTTCTTATACTGGTTCAGTTACCAATAGTTTGCTCTGTAATCCAGTAGTTAGGGTGTTCAACTTCGTTATCCAAAGCTCGCAGGCTCAAAATCTTCCGCTCGATTCCTATCACTAGGTGGATTTCTGTTTGGTGGTCCCAAATTTACACGTGGTCCTCCACGCTAAACAGCCAACTCATCTGCCTCCATTCAGTTAGGGTTTTGAACAAACTTTTTCGTCTATTCACATTATTTTCAAAATAGCACAGCAGTGCTATTTTTTTGGTCACGTACTTGGTGCCAACGGTGGATACGTATACTGTCCTTGGAAAACGCCTTCTTTATCTAAGCGGTGTAATTTATTCTAATCTAGTTTCGCTTTTTCTCTCTCTAGGAATGAACACTAAAGATTACAAGTACAAGTGGGGCGGGGAGGATTGGGATCTACTCGACCGTGTGCTGATGCTGTCGGTGGAAGTGGAACGAATCAGGCATCCAGGCCTCTATCATCATTATCACGAAAAACAAAAAATGTGGAATTAAAGCTTGATAATCTGGAAATGATTGGCCAGATCTAGGATTATTGCTAAGGGAATTGTACCGCGGCTGCATCTAGGCTCGATTGCCACCGCTTCCTGCCTAATCGAGCTTAGGCTGTATCCCGAGACCGAAAAAGTATTTCTTCATTTGAATCAGTCATTATCCCAAAGGGAATCATCGTGAGCGTGACTTCAAGGACTTCAAGAAGTCAAGAAGTCCTNTTTTTTTTTTTTTTTTTTTTTTTTCATCGTTTCGTCGAATTGCAATTTTTTCACCCTGCAAACTATTCACTATGAACTTCATCTTACTATGATCTTTCATCTTTATTCTGTCCTAGGAGCATCTCGTGCACCAGTAAAAATACTCAGTCCTAATGTTATCACTGTCCAAAAATGCAGTAAAATGGCTGTCATGACAATGATAACATCGGGCCACAAGGTATGATCATATTAAAACCGTTCTTTAAGCCCGAAAAATTAGTAAGCTTTTCTTCGGGCCGAAAGTAAAAGGCTGAAACTACAGAGTGATATAGAAAAACGTTCCACGTTTGAACTGCGCAACAATAGCACTTCAGTTGCCAGTATCGCTGTGAAAAACAAAGGAGAGGTTTCAAAGCAAATTTAGCTTAACGACGTTCGCGCGAAAATTTACAGTCGATAGAGTTTTTTTTTTTTAATTTTCACTGCAGTCAGATAGTGAGTTACTTCTGTCAGAAATAAAAAAAATGTGGGTCACCGACTTCGTTTCAGAGATAAAGCGTATGGAAAACTACCCTGATTTTGAAAAATTGGTGCACGTCATTCGGCATGGTCTACAGGGGCTTTTAGTTAAAAAATATCGAAGGTGAGTCAACGGAGGCAAACGTTCTTAGTCATATTTTGTAGAAGTGGGTCTGTTGCGTAAAAAAAATCCAAATGTTGCCAACGCTTTCACAAAACTTAACCCTTCAAGAAGCATTTAATTTGAAACCACCGCACAGATAAACGGAGAGCTAAAATCAACGGTATTCGATGGTGCGTTTTGCAAAAATTTCAAAGCTCTAATCGATAGATTTTCTTCATTTTTTCGTTAAATGTAGAAAAGCGGTAGAGAAAATGATCCATCAAAAGAAAAATAGAGTTCACCGAACGTCCAAGATCGTTAAATCCAGGCAAAGCTATGGCAATGGCCATCTGCCCTATCATTGATTTTATTACGCATCGATTCATGAGAGTGGCGTGTGAATTTGGGTGCGTATTAAGGATGCGCAGAAACAATTAGCGCGAACTTCTTAAGGCTTTCGAAAGGGACATATTTTGTTTTATAAGAGTCTGGAATTATGAATATCTCCCTTAGATAGTACAAAGCTACAATGATACAAGGATCTTCTTCAATAAAAACAAAAATTTGAAAACTCCATCTTCACAATATTTAAACAATTGTATGGTTCCTCGACTGGTTCTTTAAATTTATTCCACACTCCTGCAAATCACTCGTCCCTACGGTCTCGCTGGTTTCAACAAACGTACCCGAATGAATTACTGTGTGAAACCAGGGAAATGTGTAGTTTTTGCCCACCTTTTTCGCCGTTTTTTGGTTCTGTTTCGTTTTGTTGTTGTTCTTGTTGTTTTTGTTTTATAACAAAACAATGCAATATGAGAACTTGATTACTAACGAGACACATACACCAATCACAATCGCCCAATTTTAACGAAATGGTAGTGAAAAATACTCTAAATTTTTGGCCCTTTTCGGTTTGCGTCGTTCCCCTTTCGATGTATCAAGTAGCTATTGGAAAATAACCATGATAAGAGACCAATGTTCCCTATTTGGGCATTTTTATTCACAATTTACTTGCTAACAGGTCAGAAACCGATAACAGATCACACTAGAGTACCCAGTCTTGTTCAGAGTAATTCAAACTCTTGGGTATGCTGTGAGAACGTTTCCTTTGTTGTTAAAGTTGATGGTTGTTATGCTCAAGCGCTTTCCATTGATGTTGCACGTGCAGTACGACGCTTCAAAGAAGCACACTGTGTACAAGGCCATTTCGAAATCTGGACTTGTTCCTACAAAGAAGCTGCTGCCCTGACCCTTGTTAGTTCTTTGCCACTGAAACTTGGCCCTGATTAAGGCAGGCTAAGAGAACAGAAGTAAACGATACCGTTATTGAAGAATACGAATCGCTTCCTGGATACCTTATACAACGCCTACCTCAACACTACGCCCAGATATACTTTTCTCCTATCGACAGTTCGTCGATCCTTGCAGTTACTCTTCTTGCATTCCTCCCCCCAAAGATCAAAGCCCAATTTTCTCCGCTGAGTTCCCACCGGGCAATGTTGTATGTAGTTGATCTTTGCAACTTACCTTAGTATATTTCTAAACTAGTTTGTCACTGATGAATTTTCAGGTATAAATCTGAAAGATAAACCCTACTGACAAGTGAATCCCACAGGGGCAACGTTTCTATAAAGTCTGTTTAGTTTTACGGGAAATACTTTCTGACTTTTCTGATCACTGCATGACAGTTACTGCTAATGAATTATCGCAGCTCAAAACAAATGCAAAATCAACAAGAAGCAATGAAATTAAGAGAATCATTACTGATCAGCGGCAAAAGATAATCTCTTATCAGCGGTAAACAGGGAATGTAAACAAATTACCTCCCTGAAAACATCTTTCACAACAGGCGGAGGAAGATACGTCAGCCGACCAGCTGTTCTTTCGGAAAGGAACTGGAGCCAGTTGTGAAGTCCTTTTGTGACTTTCGACTTGCTGTACCTACTGTAACCCAGCTCTCCTGTTGTAAACAAAGACCAAAATGAAGACTGAGGTTAATGTATAGGGCTAGAAGACAGTGAGTGTCCGCCCTGATCCTAATTCATCATTGCACTCCGGAATTGTTGCGTGCAAATGTTAAGTGGAACAATTTCAGTGATGGACTCAGACTACAACGTAGACGTTGGTACAGAGTTGTGTATAGTTGCAACATTTTTCTAGGCCTCGTCAACCGTTTCAAGGACTCACGAGCTTTGTAGTCAACCCTTGCTAAAAGTTGACTCCCACTGTATCCAACAGTGACAGTACACAACAGTGATACAACCTTAGCTACTCAGCAAAAGTTCTCGCAACATGAAACAGGAGTCGTGGATTTTGTCTCTCAAAAACCAGTTGTATCAAGCAAAATGAAACCAATATTTTCATTGTTCTTGATAACAATGACGTGTTCTTGAGGAGCGCTCGCGAATAGAAAGCTAGGATCTTTAAACTTTAAGAGTTTCATCTTTTAACCAGTGAAGTGAATCATACAGGAAATTCTTTCCTCGTTCTGAGAGTAACTTGAACAGCTTGAAGCAAGGGTGTTGCGTGAATACTTACCGACAAATGTGTGTTCAAAACCAGATGACGTTGGATATCGACCTCTCTTAGCGTATTTCTCGAACCATAACTTCTTTAGGACAGGCTTGAATTGATCTAGGCGCTGGTAAAAATAGAAAAACTGAGGTGCACCATATTACTTTAAACAGGGGCTAAACAGCTGTGAGGGTTGGACACACAACGTGGAAATGGTTCAACTAATAGTTTTTCGTCACGTTTCGTGTGAAGTAGAATATAATTTCGTATAAATCATATATGAATGTCAGTGTAGCATTTTCACCGAACTCTGCAACGTTTCGCACCCTTTTCAACCCTTTCTCGTAAATTGTTCTTAATTAATTTTAATTCCACCATCCGAACTAGCCAAAGTTATGCCAACATCCTATCAAACTACCAGCCTACTACGATAAAGGCTTAAAGTTTGGCAATGTTTTAATCACGATGAAGGCATCATAATACCCTCGTATTTCTTCTTTTCAAAACGACCTGACTGTCACGTCCAACCTCTCTAAACCAACCTGCTGTTGCTTTTAACTGAAACACTGTAAAAAGGAGCTTTATGAAAAAGATTAAGACAAAAGAGACGTATAATGATACCCCGCTGGAAACTTTGCCTTTATTTTGGAGATATTTGAAAGCGATGTGTATTGGTCCTCCATTTACAGCTATGGCGTTGACAAAAACATCCTCTTCCAGTTGTTCTTTAGCAGAAGACTTCTCGGGTTTATTTTCGTCTGCCTCGTAGTTGTCTAACAGGGCTTTTAAAAAAGGTAACAAAGCAAGTCAATGGACTGTTCATAAATATGGTGCTCCAAGTTGAAAATCAATCATTATCTTCAAAGTATTTACTGACGTGGGTACAATCCTTCGACTACATCTCAATTATGCCTTGGATACTGAAGTGTCTCACTTAAAGAAATGTCTAAGTTATAGACGTTTCTCCGGCAGAGAGGTGTCGGACGGCTTAGAGTGACGTTCCCAACTGCATGAAAAATCCACCTAAGGGAGAAATCTTAGCAATCTTCTTGATTCAGCTTGTCGTTATAAATTAATCCCGAGTGATAACAGTTAGCAAGAGCGGATGAGGAGTAACAGAGACCATCTACCTCACAAGCTTTATTCCTAAGGTCACGGTAGTCCTTCTAATTTTAGGTATGGTATCCTGTCCTCCCATGGGTAGCATTTCGAGATATTTTCGTGAAGGATGAAGATGCACGTAAAAGCCTCTCTCGGGCGTTCCGCGAGAGCAAAATTCCTGTCAAAAGATTGGCTATTTCTAAACCTCTGATAACGAGAGATTTGGAAAAACATATCAGGATAAAAAGTAGCGATGTTAAAACGTGACGTTTCGGCGACGACATATCGATCGCATTATCAAATGTAAATTATTGTAAGTTTAGTAACGTTATATACTTTCTCTGCCGGAAATTCCAAATCCGGAAGTGAAGTAAGATAACTTGATGGAGATGATCAGGGTTTGTCTTGGATATAAGGCCTATATATATTGGGAGTTTACATGTACTCTCTTGCACTACGCCCTTCATAGCACGTAGTCTACAGACAGAGCCCTGTCAGGTTGTATTGAATTTTACATCTATTACAAATGTACAGTTTATCAGTTAGTCCTGTCTGAGGTCGTTAGCTTTAACTGACGATTTACTCTCGATTCTCTGTCATCGACGACAGGAAAACACGAACACCTCGAACTAATACGTACTGAAATACGATCTTTTTGTCTTGACGTAGCCCACCCGGCTGTCAAAAAACCTTCCTCCTCGTTAGATGTTCAGGTTTATGAACAGCTGAAAACGACTTTCAATTGTTGAATGTTGTTAAATAGAATAGAAAAATACAACAAGATTGACGATGGTTACTAATGCTCTTGTAACACCGTGTAATCAGTAACTAAATGTATATGTGATACGGATTCCCAAGAAATGTTAAAAAAAATTGCTTTGATCATCTGCCCAAAATAGAACTACAATGCGGTAATAGAACTGAGCTAGGAAATAGCGAACCACGGATAATTTAGATCAGATTTATTTAAACGAACAGACAAAGCATCAAAAGGCGTCAGATATTTGTTTTTGACTGTCTGATATCTTTTTTCTTCAGTTGTCATTAGAGTTTTATATCACCAAGATGATATGGTGTCTTAGGGTAATTTTCATTACAGTTTACAGCTGGTAACGTGAGTTTAAAAAAACCTCGAACACCTCACCTTTGAATTTGACGAAAACATCTCTTCGCACCTTCGCTTTTCCTTGCTGTGTCAAGGTAATCAGTGGTTTCGACCTCGTTCCGGAATTAATGATTATTTCTTTCCCAATTTTGAGATTGTTTCCAGCTGAATTCCACATGTCTTGGCAAACGTTACCTAAGTCCTTTTTACTGAAGGAAAATAAAATACACATTTTAGGAAAGCAAAGAAATATGTTGTTCTTCCCCGTATTAAAATGGTGTTTACAAATGGAACCTTAACACCTGTAGTTTTAAGGGAAGCAACCTTGAATAAATTGTGGTTGTTTCCAATCTACTTAAGAATTTATCAGCTGGCATTAAATAATTTTAGACACTTCCCTGCTCAAAACCACTGGGCGCAACAAAATAATAATAATAATAATAATAATAATAATAATATATTATTATTATTATTATTATTATTATTATTATTATTATTATTATTATTATTCCTAGCTTAAGTGAAGGTTAGAAACCCATGTTACTTTCGTATGTTCTCTAATTTGCATAATAGAGTGTGATAATCTTAAAAGCATCCAAGTTCTAAGTCGCTGTGAACAAGGGAGTTGATAAACGCGAAACTGCAGGGTGTTTCTGGACTTAGGAAATAAACGTCAGCGAGGGCAGGGTGCTTTCGCTCGTTTTCATAAAATGGTTTATCAGGTGCTAATACGGATAAAATTTCATGAACCTCTAAATCAAAACATATCGAAAGGAAGGAAGTGCTCCTAACTTCCGAAGGAACACTCAAGCTAGGAATAATAATGAAAAAGATTGTAGCGCTTAGTCGTTTTTGAGAAGCGAGCTCGTCCATTTCGGCAATTTTGTAGCTTTTATTGTTGCGGACTCTAAAATAAAACCATTTTGAAGTCGCGACAATGACTTATGGGCTTGGCACTTACGTGGCAAATCTGGAGGGAAAACGTTTTTCCGACCCGAAATGCAGTGGACCACAGAGACTGCCGCTTATGCAATCTATCACCATTGCACTAACCTGATAAAAGGATTTAAATCTTTACCAATGCTTTCTCCAAGGACACAGGACAGGAAAGCAAACAGGAGATAGCAGCGGTTCATTTTGGAGGATCGGGATCAAACGCAACTCTTTCTCAGTGCAATAACCGCAAAATGATTAACAACCCTCTGAACAGCAACTTATCAAAAGAGAAACCGAGCTCTTTACACCTGTAGTCACGTGCAGTCACGTGAAGGTGAAGATAAACAAACAAAAGACAGATTACGCAAATTACTTTTCCTTTTCAAAACATTCACAAATAAGTTCTTAAGTCATGTCTGACAGGGTACTATGGGAAAGTGGTTTTGTAATCTCGATAAAAATACGATGTTTGCTCAGCGGGCAAAAAGTGTCTTAACGTATCCAAAGAGTAGCTATCGTATTAAAGCATTGAAGTAGTTACTTTTCCAGTGTAATCCGCTTAAACCTTTTTTTAAAGTAATTACGATTCTTCAGTTTGCAAGGAAAATCACATATAAGTAATAACTATAGATGGAACTGTAATAGAACGCGCACTGAAAGTCGTGCTGCTATAACTCGATAGAAACTCTCTTTCTCCCAGGAAATAGAAAAACATTTCCGGGTTTTTATTGACGTATAGAAACTCTCGTAAACGTTTCGAAGAATTCGAAACAGAAACTACTGCTCGTGTTGTCACAGCATTTCTTGTTCTCCCAAGTTTCCACTCGATATGTCGTGTTTCTCAGTATAATTACGGAAAATAATTTCTATGTCTTAGATATTGTACAACCTTTATTGAGATGAACTTCTAATATCAAGAGAATGATTTCCAGTAATACTTCGCTTTGAGTCGATAGGGAAGAGGAAAACCCCAAAAATCATTAAATTGAAATTAGTAAGATCAGTTGATCGCCTCTGTTGTCTAAACAGCTGGGGTAACAATTGGCATCCTTTTGTCCAAACAGTGATAAAAGTGAAAAAACTGATGACGTGTCGCAAAATGTTCGGTCCACACAACGAAATAAACTGCAGCATTGGTATAGCAAAATGGGTTTTTTAATATAGCGGTACCCCGCTAACAAGATTACCTTTGAACTATCAAAATAATGTCTCATTAACGGAGTAAGTTCACATTATGATGCCATTTTGAATGATGACTCATATCTGCAGTCCAGTGAACNTCTTGCCCAAGAACACAACACAATGTCCCCGGCCAGGGATCGAACCCGGACCGCTCGATCCGGAGACGAGCGCACTAACCATGAGGTCACCGCGCCTCCCAAGATCAAGGATTTTCGCTTAATTCATAGTTAACAGAGGGAAATGGTAAAGAAGCCGGGTAAACATCAAAGGAGCAAACAAACAGGCTAAGACTTGAGTTGGAAGGTTCTTGACCCGGCAGATCTTTTATTTTATGCTCCTTGACTATGCATGAATTACATGATCGCAATGCTTATATTGGTTATTTGAATGAGCACACATAAACACCTTTTGTATTTTGCCAGGGTTAGTGTAGGGTGAACCCCCAAAATAGCCAGCAAAAGCATACAACAATGAACTTTGCCAGGTTTCTCAACCGTTTCCATGCACAAAGTATGCTTAATTTGAATGCGAAAAACGGCGACATAAGATTTGATTATTAAGCAATCAATGATATCGATATTGCATGAGCCAACTTTCGTTATTTTAATACTAGCTTGAGCATATCAATATAATTTTACACGATACAATGATGGTCGTAATAATTTTAACGATTCTTCCCACAGAAGACTATTGCAGGTCGAATGGCTTACTTCCCTATAGTTGGTCGTCTTGATTGTGGAAGTTCTTCTGGAGAACATCAAGGCTTTTGGGAAATGCATGGCTACGGAATTATGGCGATTTATAAATCAGACTGGGACAGATTTGGAGGTAAGTCCACTTAAAATAATTTTCGCACAAACTCAACTTCCCCTTTTACAATTTTTTTTTTCATTTTCTCCGAACAAGGGAGTGACGTAAC